AGCTCATGAATTATTAATGAGTTCTATAACGGGATATAAAGGACCATCATGTGAACCAATAGTTCGATGCTCATTGGACTAATAGCTCATGAATTATTAATGAGTTCTAGAATATCTTATATTTAACACTGTTTTGAACATTTTTTGTCGTCTTCCAAGATTGAAAACAGTACTGACAATACTCCAGTTTCGAATTCATAGCGCAAAACCGCTGCTTTATTTGATAACAGATTCTCTTGCGCAAAGACCTCACAAACACAAAAAAGAGCATGAGAAAATGTCGTTATTACAATAGACTTGAAAATTTGCATTTTCACCGAGTTGAGACCAACCCTGTATTCCCATGAGACCTAAGGTATGAGCCTTCTGGGAATACAGGGTTAGCCTCAACTCGGGGAAAATGTAAATTGTTACCGCTATTGTACAAGCAACATTTTCTCGTGCTTTCTTTTGTGTTTGGTAAGTTCTTTGCGTAAGAGAATCTGCTGTCGAATAAAACAGCGGTTATTCGCTTTGAATTCGAAACTGTATTGAGAACTATGTTCAATATGTATTAAACAACAATAAATATATTTTTTCGACAACCTTTCGACATCTTTTTTCAATGCTCTGTACTCTAAAGAAATCTTTCTTTTTTAGTTAAACAATGTAAGCCAGTTATTTAGCGTAGATGTTGGCATGAAGGGTTTTCACTCTAATCGTCCACACAAAATAAAAACTGGCTTTGATAGGATGTAAATGTATTACACCAATAATCTGCAACATTTTTTTAAATAGATATCTGAATTGATGGATCGTTTGAGTAAAGTGCAAAAAGTGCAAGACAAAAACGATGCTGAAAGAAAGGTAATTGTGCAAGAAAAGGAAGATCTCCTTGAACGAATTTCTTCACTTGAAAAGGTTTGTATGTTTGTTTGAAAACGTATTAGTTTTTTGGACGTAAGCTCATTTGTATTTGTTTTTAGNAACCCTGTATTCCCATGAGACCTAAGGTATGAGCCTTCTGGGAATACAGGGTTAGCCTCAACTCGGGGAAAATGTAAATTGTTACCGCTATTGTACAAGCAACATTTTCTCGTGCTTTCTTTTGTGTTTGGTAAGTTCTTTGCGTAAGAGAATCTGCTGTCGAATAAAACAGCGGTTATTCGCTTTGAATTCGAAACTGTATTGAGAACTATGTTCAATATGTATTAAACAACAATAAATATATTTTTTCGACAACCTTTCGACATCTTTTTTCAATGCTCTGTACTCTAAAGAAATCTTTCTTTTTTAGTTAAACAATGTAAGCCAGTTATTTAGCGTAGATGTTGGCATGAAGGGTTTTCACTCTAATCGTCCACACAAAATAAAAACTGGCTTTGATAGGATGTAAATGTATTACACCAATAATCTGCAACATTTTTTTAAATAGATATCTGAATTGATGGATCGTTTGAGTAAAGTGCAAAAAGTGCAAGACAAAAACGATGCTGAAAGAAAGGTAATTGTGCAAGAAAAGGAAGATCTCCTTGAACGAATTTCTTCACTTGAAAAGGTTTGTATGTTTGTTTGAAAACGTATTAGTTTTTTGGACGTAAGCTCATTTGTATTTGTTTTTAGATGAAAGAGAGATTTAGCAATGAGGTTGATCTGCATCATGCGGAATGTCAGGAGCTTAAAGCTGGTTTGGCAGAAAAGACATCGAAAATCAAGGAACTTATCAAATCTTCAGGTATTCTACAACAAACCCTTGACAGCAAAATGCAAGAAATAGACGAAATGAAGGAATTTTTTGATGCTACCAATGAAGACCTTGATACTTTATGTGAACAAAGAGCGCAACAAATTCGAGAGTTGAAGGCCGAATTAACAACAAACTGCGATACAGTCACTAAACAAGAAAATGCCTTGAAAGAGAAGGATGAAGAAATAGAAAACATAACAAAGTGTTTGCATGATGTTACAAAGCAGTTGGATCAGTTGTCAATAAAACATAAACAATGTGTAGAGCGTGAGCTTAAATTTGAAGCGATGAAACAAAATATCCTTCACTTAGAATCAGGCCTTCAGCAAGAGAAGTCAAAATCAGAGTTTTTGCAAAAGACTTTGGAAGAAAGAGAAACACAATGGGAAAACGAAAAAGAAAAGCTCTTAAGTTCTACTAAGACTGACGAGGCACTGAAAGAAAAATCCGATCTTGAAGCTGCTTTATCTTCCGCTGAACATGAAAACAAACAGCTCCAAAGTACCCTTGAAATCAAAGCAAAAGAACTATCAGAACAGCAATTGCTTTGTGAAAGAAGAAATTCTGATTTCCGTGATCTTGAAATGAAGTTCAAGACAAAAGTAGATTCAATGGAGCAACAATATGAAGATATCAAATACACACTCAAACAAAAAGAAGATGAGGTTTTTGTCTTAAAAGAAAAAATCCAAGAAATTGAAAACTTAGAAAAGAAGGTTGCTTGCAGTGAGGAAATTGAACTAGAATTGCGTCATCATCTTGGCGAAGTAACTCAAGAACTCCAAACACTGAAGGAATCTGCACTAAATAGCAATGAAGAATCTCTTTTACTTCAGGTATGTAGAGAGAATTATGAAAACCCTTTTTCTTTTGATTAAAATAGAATGGTGACACTGTCTGAGAAATATGAAATTGCTTTTGTGGTTCACTCTTGTATGAACCCGGGAGTTATTGAGAAATCAAAGAAGAAAGTGTAAAAAAGCGAGCGGACATTGTATATCTCTTTTTCAAACGGAGGACCGAAAAGCTTAAATGGATAACACTATTTTGAAGAAATTTCGCACGGCTTTGAGTTGTATTTTGCTTTTATTGACAGCATGCTGTTATTGACACACTCTTTATGTCACAAGGGTCTGTCAATTTGTTTATGCCACATTTTTAATCTAAATTTAGAGAAATCTTTTATTTTCAACTGAGCGCGCACGAGACGTGATGATGTCAATACTGTGAGCACCTTTATCAGCCATTAATCAGCGCGAGAATTCACACAAGTGTGGTTTGATAATGGAGTGGATTTAGTATGAATGTGTAACGGCATGATCACAGAACCGCGCCTGGTAGTGAATAAGGATTTAAGAATGCTGCAGTAATTTTTGGATATATATGGATTTCTTATAATGCTATTGTCGCAGGACGGCCTGTACGGTGGGATGTTCAACCCTAAGAATAAAAACAAATTCCACCAAAGAAAATCCTTTTGCCTCCTTTATTACATCAAATAATTCCCAGCTAATTCCCAATCCTCTAAATAAACGCATAAAGCCGTCTTATGATAATTACTTATCACTTCTAAGGTGCTACTTATGACTTTTACTTAACTTATTACTCAATATGACTTATACTTAACTTATTACTCAATATATATTTAAGGAAACAACTTGTAATTCTACTATATGTACTAGGTTATACTTATTTGTCCATTTTGGAGAGTTGAAGATACGTAGCGTCTTTGCACGTGCCGCTGTGTAACGTTTTTCGTTCTTTTCCTGCCGTCTTTGGCTTTTTCGCTCTTAGGATCTCTTTTTAACAATATTCTCTGCTCCTCTATCTCTTTGCTCTCTTCACTCAAAGCTCCCGTTTGTCCACGGACACTTTCGATAACACTTTCTCTTAGTACGCTTGTCCTGTCTTTATCTGACGGCCAAAGTACTTCCCATGAATAAACTAATAAAGAGTCCAAGTTCTTTCTTAAGCCTTTAAATGTTCTCCTTCGTCGTTCTTTCTAGTAACCCGACGAAAACGGCTCCCTCAACTTCTTAGTTTCGTAACTTGTTTGTGTATATCTCTTTCCTCCAAACCTATACAACGTGAATTTATATCCACGCTGTTTTACATATTTACATGAACTTACATGGCGTCGTTTATTTTTCTATAGAAAATTAACTAGTTAAGTTAAGGGAAACATAATCCTAGAATAAAGAAAACTTATTAAGGCGTCGAACCGTCACAGCTATTTAATTTCAAGATAGATGGAGGCGGGTTAGTAGTACGTATTCCATATTTGGCACAAACTAACAAGCAAATAGAAGCACCTAACAAGCGAATAGGGGTACATGCTTTTTTTCACTTGTATATTTTTCTACAGTTTTTTATCGACTTATTCGAACTTTTTAGCTACGCCTTAACTTATTAAAAAATTTCTTATCTAATTTTATCTTAGAATTATGAATTTAACATTTTATAGCCTGACCCGTCCTTTTCCCTAAACCTAACCCTTCGACTACAAATGTAAAGCGCCTTAACTAACTTGACCACGAGAGATTACGCTGGCAAACAACGAATTGTTTGTGACATTTAAAGTATTTTGCATTGCTAACAGCACCGGTAAATTGGGATTCCTTAGGGACCGCTATTCGCTTGTTAGGTGCTTCTATTCGCTTGTTAGGGACCGCTATACGCTTGTTAGTTAATACCATATATGGAATACGTACGACAATCCTTACTCGATAGATGTGCGTACAACAGGAATGATAGAGGCTAAATCATCGATTGATTTAATACGACTAAACAATTCACATACCTTATTTTCTTTTAGTATCATAGTCGACTAAATTTGATTGAGTAACTTTGATTGAGTACATGTGAAAGACGCCGTATGAGCTTGGCGGCCATTCATAAAGATATGTATAATACTTAAAATTATAAACTTTCACTAAGTTATATTTGTTCTATCTTTTAGATATCCAGCCTTAAAGACGAAATTGAGATAAAAGTGACTCAGTTTGAAGAAGAGAAAGAAAGCATTGTTTCAGCTGCGAAGGAGTTTGCTATGAAACAAGAAGATAACTTTGGACAAGAGCTTTGCGCCAAGGATGAAAAGATCCTTGTACTTGAGAGTGAAATCCAGCAGCTCAAACATGACCTAACCTCAGCTCAAAATTCTCGAAAAGCTCTTCTTGAAGCAGCTGACGAAAGAGAAAAAGAACTTGAAAACACAAAAGTTCAATTACAAGATGATGGTGTGGTGCAAGGGAAATTGGTTGAACTTTCTCTTAAACTAAAACTGGAGAAACAAAAGAATAGTGAATTTGAAGATAGCTACAAGAAACTGCACGAGCAGATTGACAAAAGTGAGTCAGCTAGAAAGGTACTCCAAAAACAAGTAGACAAATTAGAGAAAGATCACAAATCTGAAGAAGAGAAACTTGTATCTGAGATATCATCTCTTGCCTTGAAAATTCAAAGGCTCCAAAAAGAAATTAAACAGGTCCAAAGTTATCTTGACGACGAAAAGGCCAAAACATTGTCATTGACAAAAGAGAACTATGATTTGTCAGAGGAATTGAATGTCTTGCAACAAGAAGCACAGCGTGAGCGAATACACTCCACGGAAACAGAAGAAGAATGCAGATTGCTTAAGCAACAGGTAGATGGGCTAATGTCTGCACAAACTGAAGCTGAAGTAGAAAAAGAAATTCTTATTGTTAATGAATCTATCGAGAAAGTCAAGTTGAGAGAAAATGAAAGGCATGTTCAGCAGATGAAAAATGAGCTAGAGCACGGAAAGAAAATGAATGCAGAACTTGAGATTGATAAAAAGAGGTACCAGGAAGAGTTTGAATCGACTAAGGAGAAATTAGCTGCTATACAAAAAGAAAGGGACACCTTGCAACAACAGCTTGTAAAACGGGAAACCGAATGTGCAGACCTCAAACAGGACTACCAAGCGCAGACAACATCTCTCAGAGAAGAAAACGAGAAGTTTCTGCGAAAGCTGAAAACTGCCGAGAACCAAATTTCTAGTTTAAAAGATCACCAGTTAGAGGAGCTTGAATTTACGAAAAGTCAACTTACCTTAGTAGAGAACAAATGCTCCGGCTTATTGCAACAGCTCACTGAAGTAAAGAAATCTGAATCAAAGAAGTTATCTACGATGCAAGAGAGCATGACTAAGAAATCTGCAGAGCTACAAGCGAAAGTTGATGAACTTGAAGCTGAATCAAGAGAAACAAGAGCAGGACTTCAAGCAAAAATTTCTGAATTGCATTTAGAAAATGAATCATTGAAATCAAAACTCGAAAGAAATGTAGAACAGAAAGAATATCATGCACCCAAAAATGACATTTCTGGTGTTCCAGGCCCTAATACCGTGCCTTCACCTCTTGTCCGATCAATGTCATCTCTTGTCATAACATCAGCTTCTGGTGCAAAGAAAGGCGCGAAAGAAAAAAAATCACCTGATGCGTCCAATGTTGAGATTGGGATCCAACCGCATCGACTGACTGCTTTCGAGTCAAGACTTGCAAAGAGAGAAGAAACGCGAAGTTCGAAGTTAAACAAGAGATCTTTGGATCATGGTAAGTTGATAATCAGTTAGAGGTCCACAAATGTCACTCATCAAGCGATTATATTTAAAATTACTCCATTTTAATGTTGCGTGTAAACAAAATGCACGCTGTGTACTACGACAACAAAACAAATTTAATTAATTCATGCATCCTCTATTCAAACCTTCCCTCACATAAATGTTCCCTGGCCGAACATAGAAGAGGTGAAGGAGATTTGAGGATTTATATGAGAACAGCGAGGATTGATAGTATAAAAAAAAACAAGCAAAAATTTGAATAGGGTGCCCAGCCTATTAGTCGTGTTTTACAACATTATGGTATAATTCGTTGATAAGCGACAGAAAATACAAAATGACATTATTAATATCAATTTTTCATTTGGGGTTTCTTAGAATCACAAAGTAAGCCAAAAAGATCTCGGTTAACCAGCCAGGGAGATTCAGCACCTGGACCATATTGCGAAAGCCCAGAATTACCTGAGGGCTTGCCGGAAGTTGTTCAAAAAGGATTTAATGATATCCCAGACGTGCCTATCAAGTCTCCTTTCATTTTAAGAAGGACCACAGCCCAAGTCAACAGGAAAAGCCTTGTTAACCCCAAGCAATCTGTCAAGCCCAAGGGATCACACATTCCAAAATTCAGCCGGAATACAGCTGTAAGTAATGTGGTGTTTATTTAGTATTGTGAATTTTCCAGATTATATGAAAAGAAAGTAACTGAAAAGAAAGTAACTTCAAACCAGATTTTTGTATTTTCCTATTTGCTTAGTTTGGATACTTATCAAATGAATTAATAAATTTTTGAATAGTAGTGGAATATCCATGCGGATAATGATTGATTCTTGACCAAGCGTGAGGAAAAATGTTTCATTTAACCATTATTTTTTACTCTTGTTGAACAAACATTTTTAGGAAGTGATAGAAAGTATGCATTTCTTTAATTAATCACAGTTTTTATGTTCATTTCAAGAGWTATAGAACATTACCATAGGACATTACCAATGTAATTCAGAATGTATACTGTACAGACGTATAGATTAACGTTGAGACAATTCGTGACTCTGGGATGAGTAAGGCTCGAAACATGATCTCACAAAAATAACACCCTCATTCTTTGGTATATATTGTTCAGAAGGAGAATCCAGCTCCATCAGGCTCACCTCCAAAGAGATTCTTGAAGCCACCATCTGCAGTGCTGTCTCCACGTAAGACTAATGTACCGGCATCCAAGTCTTCCGATTGTAAGTCGCCAAAGAAATCAAAAATTCCAAGTATGCCTACAAGACGGGAACATGCAAGAGCGGGCAAAACACGACAAGGGCCTACTACACGTAAGCATTTATTATAATTTAAGGTCAATGTTGGAGCTRTAATAATCTGTAATTAAWGTATCCGTCATTACCCTTCAGGTTCATCTGTCCAACTACAAATGCGTCTAAATCAAATARAAGACACAGCTAATGCAGACAAAGAAGACTTCGAAACATGTAACATGCAGTGAAGAAAACATAGTGAACAAGCTTGAATGCCTATTTCATTCTTTCATTTRAATCGGTTATGATTATTTTTGGGCTTGCAACGCTTGCGAMACTTGTACATAGAATATTTTAATTATRCATAATAAGATGTCAAGGATTACTTCAAGTTGGCCAAAATCAACGAAACATTTTCTCGAGTTCTGTTAATTCATTTGTGTAATATGATTGAATTCATCCAATCTCGCCACAGCAAAAAGTCACTTAGAGTAGACACATTTGTTCGGTCTATCATGCAATGCATCTGACTTGCCGCGAAATAAGAGAAGMGAACGACGACGGATCGGCGCATGGACTGTCTTACGTTTYTCCTACATCAAATATATTGTAATAGTGCAGTGGATGTGGTTGGATGTCGCGAGGGCTGATTGTTAGATACTTGTTATTCTTATCGTTTCATTTAATGTACAGATGGTATTGTCTTAATAAATGCACTACGCATTCATTTTTAGGATCCTTGTTTRTGATGGATGGGAAGAGACTTATTTTAGGGGGTTCTTTTACAAATATTCATTCCAATTTCAATAACCGACTCTCGTTATTCTGGTTGAACAATCACACACAAAATATCTGAAGACAAATGTTTTCGATCTGAACAAACTAACTCCTGAAATTTTAAGTATATGCTTCACTTCACTTAGCTATGCAAAAACCCAGATTCATTAAAATTCCGTAGAGACATGAATTTTTCAAACTACTTATTTTATAGGGAAAAACATTTCAGATTTGTTTTTTCTCAGGTAGAACAAAATGTTTCGGTCATTAGTAGACTACTACTCCTCCCAAACGTCGAGCAGTGAAAGAGTGTATAAACACGGTGGGAGTTGAAAATCACGAGAGAAGCAGGCTTTTTTGCTTCTCGTTTATATCAGAGGCCGAGGACAGGGACGCAAGCGGCCATTTTTTTTTAATTTTTTTTTATGAAGTCTTTCTGCGTTTTTCGAACGAAATACAAATTTTGCCGGTAAGCCGTGTCTCCGCCCTCTGATATAAGCACGGTTGTCAGCCAATCAGAGCGCGCCTTATATATCAAATATTTTATACACGTAAACGCTCAAGTAGAGTAACCCTGGCGGAGGGGGGGGGGTTATCTGGTAATGCATCAAATGACGTCAAACTTACATCATTTCGCGCTCAGAATTTAACGCGTCAATTCATACAAAGTTCAAAAGGGCATTCTATCTTCTATGCGTATCAAAGCGTCTACCTGCCATTTTGTAGTTTACGAAGCTGAGCTTCCGAGCAATGAAGATAGCCCTATCCCGGATATAACTCGCTTGTCGAGTTTTCATGTAAAGGAGAGCTATGATTTGGCYCTTCTGATAGGCTGACCCTCCTAGTAGGGTGACTCTATCTCCATGTAAACAGGGCCTTAATAGTCTTATAGGTTCTTGGAATGACATTTACCCCTCTTGGTGCTATTTTTAGAATTGCTCATTAAAAACTCAGCGCAAAACATCCAATCAGGAAACGACTTGAACAATGGGTTTCTGAATGGCCGACCGCCGACAGCAGTTACGAGGAGGATCTTAGTACTTTTCAAAATTCATTTTCAGGCTTTTTAAGTTTACTTTTAGTAGAAATATAGGTCCCAAAAAAGGAAAGCGGAATCACCTTTCATTTCAATATTTAGACGGAAGAGGAAGCCATTGATAGAAAACAGGTGTAGTACGTGGTGGGGATACAGAAATAATCATTATGTTACCACAGTATATGCATGATAATATTTCAATTTTCATTTTTGACGTTTCAAATTGATAACCTCGGCCGGGATTTAACATGCTTACTGGAGATGATCATTCAAAGATCCACTGTTTTCCTTGACAGCAAGGTAGTCGATTTCGGGAGAGAGTCACATGAACTATTCAAGTTGTAAAGGATTCTGACTCCAATGAAAAACATGTGGCTTTTGCGATTTATAATKTTCACATTTATGATCTGTCACATTTTTTTAGATGAACATTTATAAGAACAGATTATTTTGCGTTCACTGTCATGTATTCGAATAAATGGAGACCAAAAGTGACAGTTTTTCTGTTATACATGAGCTATTTTTTCTACCTTTTTACTATCTATAGACATTKGAATAATAGTTGCTGATGCCWACGGGCCTGAGAAGCAAAAACGTTTCAGAAGGACTGCTTTAGCGGAGATCCTAAAGGTCCTAAAGTACGAGGACTACAAYTGCCCATCATGCTTTGCTGAACAAAATGTCGTTGGGAAAATTTGAATCTTATGCAGCACGACAAAATTGCTTTTGTGAACATGGCTGTAGAGTTTTTTAGCAGGGATAAATGATATTTGCTGCAAATCTTTTACTTATCAAAAGCTTCGATTTGCACCTACCGCGGGGTAGAAATCATAAATTTCAAATAATTGATTGATTTTTGCAATGTAAGCAATCAATAAATCAGCTATTAATTTTTCGTCCGCTTATTCAAATATAGCTGAAGGCTCTGAACTAGGAGATGGGCGACTTAAAAATACTTAGGCCCTGGTGTCTATAGTTCAGAAAAACGAAGGCCCTGGGAACGAGGTTGCTTTGATATGACAATAACGGCAACCAAATGGAAAGCCTAACTGCATGCTTYACAACTACTCTACGTCCTATTTTAAATAATGTTGTGATTAACTGAAAATTAATTGAAATTGTGTTTTATTCGGACTTTGACAGAGACTCAGGTCACTTACACTAGAATGCTATGGAATTGCCTTGAATCAGTTGAARGAAAGCAGCCGAATATCAAATGRTGAACTCCCGGCAATCAGTGACAAAATATCTTAGCGAAGACTTCAACTTTCTTCGACATCCAGACACTGCAGGAGCGAGCGTCCAATAGAAGTATTGCCCCAGGTAGCCCATGCTTGTTTTTGAATTTTCAGATAAATATTCAAAGTTCTATGGAGGGGAGCTACTATAAACGTTCTATTTTAAAGTTCCTCCTACCTACTTGGCATACTTTTACATTACACAGCAGTTAATCAGACATGATGATTTTATTAACAAGATAACCATTATGTTATGTTATCAGTACAGCATAAAGCAATTTATTGACAGAAATTATTAACAAATATTTTCATAAATGTTGACCATTTATTCATCATCATCATCATCATCATCATCTACTAAGATTACTTTTCGTAGTTTCTTATGATGGACAAGAGGACCATCATCGTCATCATCTTGTCTATCAATGAAATCTTCGCCTTTACTATCCTCAGGATCAAGGTTATTTTTGCTAAATGAATCACCACTTTCTTTCTTTTGCGACGGCAAGCTTTTCGGGGACTCCTCCGTATCACTATCATCACTATCGATAAGGCTATGGAATTTTCTTTTCTTTGTCGTTTTCGGTTTATCCTTAGGGCTTTCAAGTGACTCTAAACAATGGTATATACAAAGATCAAATAAGAAATAAATGAGTTATAAATGAAACAATCTTACAATGAACATTTGGAATTACGTATCCCGGTATCATGAAGCGTCTTCAATTTCTTGCAGTTTTATAAAGCTTGGAGCTCAGATAACACATCACAAGAGCGTTTATAAAACATTCAATTACGACAGGCCATGATACGCCTAACCGTTTTCTAACCTAATGAAAGATAAGACTTGAGATACCGACCAACGCCTACACTGTATTYACAATTATGACCTATTGTATTTGTACTAGAATAATACAATTCAGCAAAGACTATTCAAATTTCCAGCTGCCCAAGTCCCTCTAGTGTTAGCATCCATGTTTCCTTTTCAATCTGGTGTTTATAATATATGACAAAAGTAAKTATTACCATTTTCTCTTGTGGATTGTTCAGGAACATAGTTGACATCTGGGGTGCTTACAGATGGAATATCTTGACTGCAGAAAGAAATATCAAATGCATTATTTCACATCAATCAATAGACCATAAATCAAATAGCCAATGTTGTGCGGAAACRTTCATACGTCCCTCCTAATACAGGGAGTAGGACTACAAGGATGCAATTTTAAAAATGCAGGCGTTTCGTCGGTTCGGCAAAAATAGAAATAGAAATTGGCTCAAAAAAATAGAAGTTATAGATGATTTTATTTTAAGGATACAAGTTTGTCACAATTTAAAAACTTGTAATCGTACTCGATTTTGTAGTTGCTGTCAAAGATTTCACAACGCTAGTTCTTCTCTGATTTCATTWTGGCGGTGGCATATGACTTTTGAAGAAGTGAGAGTAAGGKCGCGCACATTGACGTAATTGAACAGTAATTCCACTTATTACGGACGTTTACGAAGGTATCACAAGATTAACCAGCCATAAAATGGCAYCAGCCACACAAACTGTTACGATATAACCAAACCTGCATGGTTATGGTCGAACACTATCAAATTGCAAGTTAATCAATACTTTCATGCAATATGAACCTGTGCTGCACTGAATGCATTTATTACATACATTTCATCTTCACTGTCACTAGAATCGTTACTGCTCTGAGCAAGATTCATTCTCCACGTCTTTCCTTTTGATGAGGAAGATTGGCCTGTTGTTTTTTCGGGTCTGTTACGATTTCTTCTCTTCTTTGCACTTGTACTACTTTCTTTACGTGATGCTGCAAGAGCTGCCAGCATGTTTTTTCGCTTCTTTGATGCTGACTCCACTAAAAAGGTATTAAATTGTTAAGTCTGATTTACACGGTACGATTTGTCGCGCGCGACTTGTAGTATACGATTTTCCTACTACAAGTCGTAGGATTTTAAGCAGTGGTTCAAAAACCTACTAAAAGTCGTAGGTTGCGTACGACTGTTGTAGACAAGTCGTAGGGGCATTTACACTGCGCGATTCAAGTCGTATACTACAAATCGCACGAGACAATCGTGCCGTGTAAATCAGCCTTTAGACTACGTTTGCACAAAAAAAGTGCGATTTATCATACTATTGCATTCAACTGTACAAAAACGAATAATCAGATATTACACTGTGACCTTAAGATAGACCTTTTCGTTGGCTTCCAAACTGAAATGGTGTTATCACTTGTCTACTCGGTASGCGTAGGTTACCAGTAACCGTGCACCGATACGGTGTGTCTTAATTAAGGTGTCTACTAATACACCTTAGTACGCTGTAATAGCATTGTTTCTATTTGACTATTAGACTGGCAGACAATTATATTTTGCGGGCACGCCACTGTACTTTCATGAATTTGCACATTGCATCAATTCAGATACATGACATCATAAATATTGGTTTTAACATTTTTTAATGATGGAGTTAATTTGAAGTTGTACCTTGTTGTCCAGAGAAGTTAAGGTCCTCAGCTGACTTTCGCAACTGCACGGGGTTTAAATTGCCCGGTATGCGCCAGAATGTCTCCTGTCATATGTAAAATGTAATAAGTATCCACGTTWACGTCCCAATTTAACTATAGGGTATTACCTGCTCATTGGCTGGTGGTACCAATCCAATTTTCTTTAAAATCGCCTTGAAATCGTTATCACCAAGAGCCTCTTCGTTTTCTTCAGTTATGGTAACCAGTGGTATTGGCTGACAATTATCTAAAGATGGCAAMAGTATTTCATAAATTGAGTACTGATTTATTTATCTAAACATCAAGTTCAATGTATGAATTGAGTTGTTGTGCCTTCCATTGATTTACCATCATGTAAAAATACAATTCTTCAACAAGATATGTAAGCTGATCATAAATATCAAAAACATTTGTTGGAGAAAAAAGTTTTCCTAACYTAMACTACTTGAAAGCGACTATGAAAAATACCGTACAACGTTTAAGGCATATTCGAAACCAGCTCACATGCTAGCGCTGTTAGTACCCAATTTGCTAACTAAATAAAGGTTTCACAGTGTACCGTTGTCTTCCCTGTCGTCAGCTGTGTTTTTCAACTTTGACTGAATCCATTCAATCTGTTCGCCCAAACCTTCAAAAAGAGAAGAATTTGTAATTTCTTTGAATCTTTGTATTTATTCAATATCAATAAACGTCACTAGTTAACATATTTGTTTTTTTGGAACTGAGACAAAATGACTCCTGAAATATCATAGTATACGTATGCTTCCCGAAGACGAGTAAAATCCTAGCTAGTTCCAATGACCATCAGCTGAGATGACTTTTCGATATGCTTATTTTACAAAGAAATGGATGTTTTGGAGCATATGTCATTTATTCTATATTTCTCAGGTTTTCATTCGACCCTACAATGATTTTACATAGCATATGGGGGAAGCATATACGGTAATATTTTGTCTTATCAGCTAAAAGGAGTARAGAATGAAAAACCTTTTTCCTTGATTTTAGCCACAAGTGTGGGCAGTGATAACAGCATGCTTGAATCATCGTCTTCAGAATCACTTTCAGATGAGCCACTATCAATCTCCTCATCACTACTTTTATTGGTCTCTATTAAAGCATAGTCTTGTTACATAAAATAATTGTACAAAAGATTGTAGCAATATAATCTCATTCAAAATTGGGCATCTCCAAAATCACGTTTCGATTGTTTTCTTTTCTTGTTTGGTTGTTTTGTTGTTGTTGTTTTTGTTGTTGTTTTTTTTGTAAGTGTGCGTTTTTTTCATTTATTTTTGTTTAATGTGCTTAGTGCTCAGATTAAAAATTTATCTAAACTTTACATGTATTTATTGTATTTAATCACACATTGTTCAGATTGAGAGGTAAAAATATAATAAAACAATACTAAATAGACCACACCAGTGTACCTTGTTGCCATGCCTCTTCTTCAAACTCATCAACCTAAAAATCATACAACATTAGAATGCCTTAATAAACAARAAATATGTATAAATGTTGTGAAGGTTTTTAAAAATAAAGCCTTCAAATTAATGAAGGCAGTCTGTTTCAAGGATAGCTGGCAGGTTTTTTTACTGGWATAAAGCTGTCATATAACTTTCTATTGTATTGCCTGCATATTTTACAGTCCCTCATGCTATCCTGGATATCTGCCAAATCGGTATATCTTCAATGGCGCTTTTAGAATCCTACAATCGTTGACAAAAACCTTGGACCATTCCAGCGAATTTTCTAATTTTAAGCCAACACCCGCAGACAATTTCATCCCGCCTGACCCCCTAAATGCAATGTTGTCATTGATCATGTTACCATAGTACACAAGCATCCAAAACAAGACCCCACATTGATGAAAGGGGGCTAAGGGGGAAAACTGTCAAAAAATAAAGGAGAAAAATGTTACGCTGAAGGCAAATAATTGTACGGTCCAAGGTATTTTGGCAACGATTGTATATCTAACAATTTTTTATCTCATAAAACATTGCCGAAATTATTAGCACCTCTAGACATTATCATGCTGTACCTCTTGGGACTTCTTTTTTCTTTTCTCTTGTCGCTTTCKCTTTTTTCTCAAAGATTTGCGATCTTCTACCACACCCATTTTTACTAACTGATTTACAACCTGTAAGAATTATGTCCAAGATTTAATATTTTGATATAGTTAAAGCCTTTCATTTAGGAATCATCCCACAGAGGATAGAAGTTTGTATTAAATAACAAAAGTACATTAACAAAACTAATCATGACAACATTTGTTGTCAATACTTGAGGATTTATACCAGCATCCTATACAAAAATATACACGTACTACTCCATGATATTAAGGCTCATGTAGCTTTACTCAAATTCCAAGAATTTTTGAATGTTTCCTCTGAAGTCGTAAAAGAGACAATAGTTTGCTAACTCACTTGTCTTCTTGACCTTGAAGTATTTGTTAGGTGTTCCAAGATTTTCCCRACAACATCTAAATCAATATATAATTATACATTATCTTAGCACTGAGAAAAATTAAGTGGAACATCAAAGAGCTCTACCCAGACTGATACATAATCAACATTAAATAACATTAAAGTAAACTACAATTGTARCATCAAGATGACTATTGTGTTGTATAAATATCCAATAGTTGGTTGAACAATGCCTACCATCTTCACAATTCTTATATTCTTCATACAATGCTCGAAGCTGTTCTTTCTCTTCTTCTGGCCAGCTATTCTTCTTTTCAGCTTTTCTACAAAAAAGTAGAGAATACAATCATTGGTTAACTAAAAAATATGCAAATGAACTAGAACTTACTTGCGTAATGTCTTCCTGTTATCAACAAGTTTCATGGCTACAAGTTTATTGATGATCTGTGTGTAATTGAAAACAAATTCACTTTCTGTTAGATGCAATTTATCAAACAAAACTAGCTAGTTTAGTTGCTTTTTTACTAGTATCTCAATCCACATGATAAAAGCATGATTTCCACTATTGTTTATCTACTTGACACAACTTTTTACTTAGAGCTGTCCTTTGAGAAGTTATCTGTTAAAGATCCCACCTGTCTCCTTGTTCTTGTGTCATCAGAAATGTTCTCCAAAATTTTATCAACTATGTCTGCAATCATAAAGAGTACCAATCAATTGCATTTTTTTAAGAATTGACTATTCAAATCAACCAAAAATTATTAAATGACTWAATAAATGAGCCTTTGATGTTCATCATATTTTAAAGTGTTTTATCTGTCGCAAAATAATGATTGTGTATTTACGCACCTTCTTCTTCTTGGAAGCGCTCATAAAGTTGCCTGAGTTCTATCTCTTCCTCATGAGTAAAAGTTGTTTTTGTCCTTGGTTTAGAGCAGTCCCTGGAGAATTATATTATGANTGAGCGGGAGACCTTTATGGGCATTTAGAACTGCGAACTGAAAGCGAGCAGTTTTATAGCCATAAAGGTCGGACGCAAATATTTTATATTATTATATATCAAGTGTCAAAGTTCACTTTTCCTAGTATCTTATTGGTCGAGAGTGTACCACGTGAAAGTCACAAAATTTTACTGTTTCCCGGCAACTGTCCACCAGCGGTCAATAATATGTTGTGGATCGTCAATAAGTACAAAGTCGCAGAAAAAACAATCTTCAGTGTCGTGAAAATGTCACATTTACGGACGTTGCAATTTCAAAATTGTTATGAAACATTTAATTTCGACTACAAATAGTTAAATTAGTATTCATTGTGTTATTACACTGATTGATTTTAGTGACTATTTGTATTGCCATTTTTCAGTTATTTTATGAAAATCTTTAATAAAAACATTTCATTTATTTACATTTTTTTTGCTCTCTTTGACACTTGATATGATAATAAAGCACTTATTTACTGGAAACCTCGGGAAACAGCATGTTTTGCGGTCCCTCGACCGCTGATGTTTCCCTCAGCTTCGCTTCGAGAAACATCAGCGGTCTCGGGACCACAAAACATGCTGTTTCCCTCGGTTCCAGTAAATAAGTGTTAATTGCTTATCAAATTCCAACATAAGGTAAAGTATATTTCGAAAAAAACTTCACGACAAAATATCATTTGTAAGAGAAAATCGAAGTTGAAGTCGTATGCAAATCAGGACAAATCTCTTGCCCATATAAAGATGCGGTCACGGCAATGATTTTCCATTGTGTTTACCTTATGAATTATTAATGATTTGATAATTCTCATACAAGTGCAGGCTTGCACATATAAGCTTGTACACGTGCAAACCAACCGATACACATCTAAACCAACTGGCACACATCTTAGTGACCAACCAGTGCTACATGTTGTTAGCAAGCTCACATTGTATAAATTATGTGTACCAGGTGGCATGCACAGGTTGGCATATAATACTATAAACTACACAGTACTAATAGGTAAATAGTCTTGAAAGGTCTTCTTTAATGTAAGCACAATTACCTGAATGCAAGGCTTCCATACCCTTCTACTATTTCATAGCAGGCATCAGCATTTTTCCATGCAACTAGCTCTGCACAAAGCACTGGGTTTTTTGGTAACAAAGAGAAGAACTTGTTCACAATGTAGCTAGAAAACTTGAACAATTCCTAAAAGAGAATTTTGTTTAGATAATTAAAAAGTTTAAAAAGAGACTCACTGAAAAATAGTCAGCCTATGACTGCATGATGCTACTGTGCAAGAAACATTCAAGTAGTTGCTCAAACATGTTTTCGTACACGTCATCTGGATATACTTTTCTTAAGATAAATTTAATGTCATGAAAACATTTTTGAGCG